CCCGCGCCCGCCCGCGCCTCGTCTTCCGCACGCAGCTGGCACACGGCAGCCCCACGGGCAAGATCGAAGGCTTCACCAACGTCCGCGAGCTCTATGCCAAGATCGCCGAGGCCTTTGGGATCGCTCCCACTGAGGTGAGGTCCCTGGACCCCCAGTGCCCGAGGCACACCGCCTGACCGGGAGTTGAGGTGGAGCTTGGACCCCAGGACTGGGACCCAAGATGCCCCATCTTCGGATGGATGGGACTCACTCTCAGAGACGCACCCCTGGGACCCCGGGGTGCCCACGCCCCAGGAACTCCCTCTGCACACCCTGCTCAATAGATGAGCGGGTCTTAGAGTCAGTGGATGCCTAGGTCGTCCCGGAAGCCACAGGGCTGATGCACCTAGGAGCAGATCCCAGCCCTCAGGGAAGCTCCTCTGGTTCCAGCGCGCTGCTCAGGGCTGGGGTTCCAGGCAGCCCCCTTCCAGGTGAGAAGTCAGAGGTCTTGGGGGTCGGGGGCTCGGCTGTAGGTGCGCCTCACAGCCCCCAGGGGGCGCCAGCAGATTTAGAACAGCCTGAAAAAGATGGTCTGGGGGCGTCAGGGCACCAAAAGTTTAAAAGTGGAAGTCTGGGGGATGGGAAATGGGGTGTCCTCCAGCTCACAGCCTCCTTCTAACCCTCCTCCCTATTCTTAGGGTCCCAGCGTCCTTGCCCCCAACCCCATACCCTGCCACTACACGTGACTGGGGATCCTGGTGGGTGATGACACGGCCAGTTTCATGCCTATTTGTGCCTCGGTGTCCCTATAAGGTCCTCGAGTCCATCCCTTGCTTGTTCTGCACAGACAGTGGGGGATGAGTTCTGCCGTTAATTTTGGGCTCCCTCCTCCCCTCGGGACAGATCTTATTCTGCACCCTAAACAGCCACAAAGTGGACATGCAGAAACTCCTGGGCGGCCAGATAGGGCTGGAGGACTTTATCTTTGCCCACGTGCGTGGCGAGACCAAGGAGGTGGAGGTCACTAAGACCGAGGATGCCCTGGGACTAACCATCACGGACAACGGGGCCGGCTACGCCTTCATCAAGGTGCCCGAGGGGGCGGGTGGCTTCCTGGGTGCCCGGTGACCTGGGGCCAGCCCATGTCCCCTTCTGGTCAGGCCTGGGGACTGGAGTGGGGTGGCGGGGGTGGCCCTGTGAGTGACTCTGGGTCCCTGCAGAGGATCAAGGAAGGCAGCATCATCAACCGGATCGAGGCGGTGTGCGTCGGTGACAGCATCGAGGCCATCAATGACCACTCCATTGTCGGCTGCCGCCACTACGAGGTGGCCAAGATGCTCCGCGAGCTGCCCAAGTCCCAACCCTTCACCCTGCGCCTGGTGCAGCCCAAGAGGGCCTTTGGTGAGGGCCACCTGGGACCCAAGGGACAGGCTGGGGGTGGGGAGCTCTTCCAGAAGTGTGTCCTCTGGAGGCAGGGGTCAGCGAAGGTTGGGGGGAGGGGTCTAGATGGAAGGTTCTAGATGACAGGGAGCATCTGGCACTGTGTAAGGAACAAGTAGGTCATTTCTGGATTGTTACTGAGTCAGTTCAGGCATAGATAGGGGTTGGGGGAGTCTTGGAAAGATCTGGAAAGGATGAGGAGGTATCTAGATCTACTTTGGAACTTGGCTCAGAGCCTTTAAAGTTCTGCTTTGAGGCTATGGAAAGTTCTAGGGAACAGATGTCAAAGGGAGTTCTAGAATGATGCTTTTCAAAGAGAAGCCTGTGACTGGTCCAGGGATGAGGTAAGGGGTTTGCCCAAGAAGAGGGGTTCTCAACCTCCGCATGATTGACACTTGGGTTGGGATGAGTCTTTGCTGTGGGGGCCATTCTGGGCACCGTAGGGCGTTGAGTAGCATCCTTGGCTTCAATCCAACAGATGCCAGTGTCTCCTCCAAATTGTAACAACCAACAAAGTATTGTCAATGGCACCTGGAAGGCAAAATCACCCCCCACCCGATCGAGAACTTCACTCTAGAATGTAGATCATCCTACTTAGTTCAGCAGACAATTTTTTCCCAAGGGTAGACTTTCTCAAGAAAAGAAGCAGGATGCTGATTTCCATTCTGGCACAGCCTTCTTATCCCATGATGGACTGGCCCTTCAAGTAGCACTGTTCCAGAACAAGAGGTGTTTGTGGGGAGGGTGTAGCTCAGTGGTTGAGCACATGCCTAGCATGCACAAGGTCCTGGGTTCAATCCCCAGCACCTCCTCTAAAAAATAAATAAATAAACCTACTCCCCCCACAATAAAAGAAAAAAGAGATGCCCTGGAAGTGCCCTGGCCCACCTGGAGGGAGGTCCCAGGAGAGTGGAACAGGTTGGGGTCCTAGATCTGCCCTGGAGCACGACCGCGAACTCTGAGGTGCCTGGGTTAGGAAGAGCTGATTCTAGAGCAAGCAGCTTTCTGGACTGACCTTCTGGCCACAAGGAGCATCTTAAGCACTCTCTTCTAGGGAAAGTCACTTTAAGAGGAGGAGGGAAACTTGAGGGAAGAAAGGATTCTTAAGCAGGATCTCTAAAGATTCACCCACAGACATAAAAAGGTCTTTGAAGGGTAGGAAGGTTCTAGAAAGGCTTAGTGGGTAGCTTCTGAGTGCTTGGGAAGAAGCTGTGGGTCTGCCCAGACATATGCATCCCCCTGTTCTGTCCCCTCCAGATATGATTGGCCAGAGGAGCCGGAGCAGCAAATGCCCCACAGAGGCAAAAGTCAGCAGCGGGAGGGCGACCCTGCGGCTTCGTGCTGGCGGGGCTGCCACCGTGGAGGAGATGGTGAGTGAAGGGAGGGGGTCGTCTTCGCGGGCTCTTGCACCCAGAGCTCTACCACCGACTCAGCAGGACCTTGGGTAAGACCCTCTCCTTGGCCCAGCCTCAGTTTCCTTACCTGCAGAACGGGTCCCTGTCAGACATAATGGTGGGACCAGAAGCACTGACTCATGTGGGTCGCAATCTGCTGTCCCCTGAGGGGTGGGGTGCTGGGCTGGAGGAATCCAAGGCTTCTGACTCTCTGATATGCTCCCTACACCCCCAGCCCAGTGAATTTGAAGAGGAGGCATCTCGGAGGGTGGATGACCTGCTGGAGAGTTACATGGGCATTCGGGACCCAGAGCTGGGTAAGGGGCCAGGGTAAGCCGGGTGGACCCTAGGGGGAGGACGGTCCATGGGAGGAGGCAGGGGCCCTCGGGGAAGGCGGGGCCCTCTGGGAAGCACCCTCGCCCACTTCCCCTCATCTTGGCCTGCAGCATCCACCATGGTGGAGACATCCAAGGAGACAGCGAGCGTCCAGGAGTTTGCGCGCCATTTAGACTCCGTCTTGGGCGAGTTCGCCTTTCCGGACGAGTTTGTGGTGGAGGTGTGGGCCGCCATCGGCGAGGCCAGGGAGGCCTGTGGCTAGTCTGCCCTGTGGCTGGGCGCCGCCCCAGCCCACAGCCCAGCCCCCTGCCCCAGCCCTCCCAGCCAGTTCCCAAAGTGCAGCCCTGTTCCAGAGTCCAGCCCAGATCTGAGACCCAGCCCTGCTCTAGAACCCAGCCCAGCTCCAAAACCCAGCCCCACTCTAGAGCCCAGGACAGCCCTGGGACAAAGATCGCCTCTAGAACCCATACCAGTTTCAAGATCAAGCCCAGCTGTGAGACCCAGCCCTGCTCTAGAACCCAGCTCAGCTCTGAGGTCAAGCCCTGCTCTGGACCCCAGGATAGCTCAGAGGCCCAGTTCATCACTAGAACCCCATCCAGTTCTGAGACCCAGCCCAGCTCCAGAACACAGCCCAGTTCTAGAACCCAGCTTTCTTCTAGAACCCAGGACAGCTCTGAAGAAAAGCTGAGCTCTGACATGAAGTCAAGTTTTGGAACTCAGACAAGTTTTAAGACCCAGCTTAGCTGTGAAATCAATCCTAATTCTGGAAGCTCTATGACCAAGCCCTGCCTTAAAACTCGACCCGACTCTGGAATGCGTGACAGTACCACAACACAGCCGCACCCGGACACCTGCTCAGGAACGCCACTTGGTTCTGGAACCCAGGTGAGACTCAAAAAGCAGCCCAGCTCCAGAAGCCATGCCAGCTCAGGATTCAAAGAGGGTTCCCAAACCCAACCCTATTCACGAACTCAGACCAGCTCAGGAAACCAGATGCATGCTGCAGCCCAGTCCAGGTCCAGGCCCCAGCCTGGCTCTAAAACCCAGTTGCACTCAAGTACTCACCCCAATCCTGGGGCCCAGTCCAGCTCCAGTGATGAGTCCAGCTCAGAGGCTGAGCCCAGCTCTAAACCCCAGCCTAGTGCAACAAGTAGGCCCAGCTCCAGGATTCAGACAAGCTCTGGACCCCCAACCGTCTCTGGAGGGGGAGCCTCCTCCAGAGTTCAGTTTGACACTGAGCCCCGTGCTCACTATAGAACACAGAGCAGCTCTAGAATGCCATCTAGCTCCGGGACCCAGACAGACTGTGAGGTGAGGCTGATTTCCAGAGTTCAGTGCAGCTCAGCCACCCTGCCCAGCTCCAGAACTCAGCACAGCTCTAGAGCACAGACTGGCTCTGAAAGCCCATTTAGCTGTAAAACACAGTCAATTGCCGAGACCCAGCTGAGTTCCAGAATCCAGCTAAAGCCTGGAACCCAGCCAAGTCGTGGGACCCAGACCAATGCAGCAACAGACTTAAGCTCCACAGCTCTGTCGAGCTCCGAGAGCAGGCCCAGCTCCAGGACCCAGCCCCACCCAGGGGCTCAGCAAACCTCTGGGACTCAGCTCATCTCGGAAACCCTGCCACGTTCTCAATATCAACTCCAGGCCACAATCCATGGCAGCTCTGGTGTTGCGCTGGACTCTGAGAAGCAGACCAGCTCTGGAACTCAGCTCATCTCTAAAGTCCAGTCCAGCTCTGGGACTCAGACAAGATCAAGAATTCAGCCCAGCTGTGGAGCCCAGCTCAGCTCCAGAACCCAGTCTAGCTCCAGGACTCAGTTCAGCTCGGAGACTCAACCCAGCTCTGAAACCCAGACCAGTTCAAAAATACAGCCCAGCTCTGGAACCCAACTCAGCTCCAGAACCCAGACCAGTTCTGGAATCCAGCTCAGCTCTGAGACACAGCGCAGCTCTGGGACCCAGGCTGGAACAAGAATTCAGCCCAGCTCTGAAGCCCATCTCAGTTCGGGAACCCAGACCACTTCTGGAAACCAGCTCAGCTCCAGAATACAGAGCAATCCAAGAATTCAGTCCAGCTCCAAGACTCAACCCAGCTCTGAAACCCAGATGAGTTCAAGAACTCAGCCCAGCTCTGGAGTGCTCCTGAGTTCCGGAACCCAGCCTGTTTTTGGAACCCAACCCAGCTCCAGAACCCAGACCAGTTCTGGAACACAGTTCAGCTCTGAGACCCAGAACAGTGCAAGAATTCAGCCCATCTCTGGAGCCCAGCTCAGCTCCAGAACCCAGTTCAGTCCCAGGGTTCAGCCCAGCTCTGAAACCCAGACCAGTTTAAGAACACAGCCCAGCTCTGGAGTCCCCCTTGGCTCCAGAACTGAATCTGCTTCTGAAACCCAATCCAGCTCCAGAAGCCAGGCCAGCTCAAGAATCCAGATCAGTTCTAGAAATGGGATCCACACACAGACCCCTAGCCTTGACCCCAGAACCCAGCCAGATCCTGCTCCCCCAGCCCGACCTCAACACTCAGGACCACCACCCAGAGCCCCAGCTCCAGCTCTGAGCAAAGTCTCTTGCCTTCAGCCCCAGCCTCATGATCTGGTACAAGGAACACAGGCTGATACTGGCCCGGGCCAAAGTCCATCAGCTTCCCAGCTGGCCCCACAGCCACAGGCCCCCGCAGTCCCCCAGAAACCAGCCCTTTCCCCCAAGCCCCAGCTGGGACTCCAGAAGCTCACCCCACCCACCAAATCCGTCATCCCTAGTCTGCCCCCAGGGCAGCCTTCCTAGGCCCCTGTCCCCGCAGCTCACGGAGTCTGGCGGCTCTGCGGAGGTCAGAGCCCCTCCCCCACCATGGGGTAACATAGTTTTGGCCCCTGTGGCCCCAACCGCCTCTCCTGCCCCTCCCGGCCTGAGTCCCCCAGAAGTAGCAGTGACCTCATTCCTCTATAGGTCAGGGAAGGCGGGGAGAGTGGAAACAGGGGCTTCAGTTTCACTCCCGCCTGAGCCTGGCTCTGCGAGGTGTAAGCAGGTCCCAGTCTGTGGAGGGGAAAGAGGCGGCAGGAGGCAGTTTGCTCTTCATGTACCTCGAGGGCTCGGCGGAATAAAGGCACCTCCCACCCCTGCAGCCGAGTGTGTCATTTTGGGGGAAGTTTTGGGGAGAGCAGAGGAAGGGGCAGCCAGGAGGGTCCGGGGGTGCTGACATGACAACCCTAGGTGCTTCTTAAGCTCCTACTGTGTGCTAAGCACGCTTTTAAGGGCTAACTGCGCAGGCGCTCACATACCTGCATACATGCGCCGCTCTATAAAAGCTCAGCGGTTCCGCCATTCAGTCAGCCTTTACTGAGAACCTGCCGTGGGCCAGGTGCTGCCAGTTCACAGCATTGGGCCTCTGAAGGGCTGAGCGAAGAGAAGGCTAAACCGTCAGTTTAAGAGGAAGGGCGTCCCGCGGTCAGTGAAGGAAGGGGGTTCCTCCGCGATCTCCTGTGTCTCGCCCTCTCTTTTCCTCACCTGCAAAATGGGTTTAATGCCGGAACCCTCTCCGAGGGGCTGTACGGAGGACTCCAGGAGATCCAAGCTGTGAAGGCTTAGTGAAGGCTCCATGAAGGGGGTGGGGAGAGGAGCGGGAAGCCAGCCCCACCCCCTGCCCTCCCCCCCCCGCCCTGGTCCTGCTGAGCTGCGACGCGGTTGGGTAGCGGGCTGGGTAGCCCTCTGATGCGAGGAACTTTAATGACTGACGATTCCGGACCCAGAGGAAAATTAAGCCAGAGGCGGAGATTGTATTTTGGCAAGAGAAGGGGTGTCTTGATGGTTCACATTCAATCTTTTCCAGGCAGAGCCTTTTCGGGTTGGGGTGTCCAAGGGAATCAACCCTCCCCCAGGAAGTAGGTCATCCTCAAGGGTCAGAGACCCCCATTTCTAAAAGGGGAGGCTTACAAACCTGATTTCTTCCAGACACCCTCCCAATACCCCACCCTCCACACATCCTTCCTGGGGTTGGGAGAGGACTTGTGGGTGGGGGAGCTAAGAGAGGGGAGAAGACTCGGAAAGGAAGATCAAGGGAGTCGGGAATCCCCAGGGCCCACAATCCTGCTGCTCAAACTGTCCATCCTGCACTCTGGGACTTGAGATCAGGCAGATGTGACCACCGAGGGGGACCAAGGTTTAACGGGGGACACGCTGACTGGGTCCCCTGTCCACTGTCCTTCCGGAGCCGCCGCCGACGTCCAGCCCCGGCCCTACTGCATCGTGGGCCGGCGGGTGAGCTGGGGTTGCAGGGAAAGCGACCTGGGCCGGGCGCTGAGGCGAGGGTAGAGGCGCCGGATCACTGCCCGGCGAAACAGGATGTACACCCAGGGGTCGAGGATCTGGTTCCAGGTGGCTACGCGCAGGTAGATGAGCAGCTGCTGCTCCATAGCTCGGGACAGCTGCCCAGTCGGACTCATGACAGGCGGGCTCCGAAGCACGGTCTGGGCGATGAAGACCTGCCGAGAGCCTTAGTGGTCAGCGGGGGCCCAGGCCGCTGCCAGCCCTGCCCTTCCACCTGCACCGGCCCGGGCCACCTGCTGTCCCCTGAGATCGAGTGCCGATTCGATTCTGTCACTGCTTTGCTGTGTGACCTCGGGAGAGCTGCCTGACCTCTCTGAACTTCTGTTGATGTGGCCACAAAATAGGACACACTTTCTGCTCCTCTCCTGGGCACGATTAAACGTGGTGTACAAGAAGACTTGTGGGTGTGGATGCGTGCAATCTCTATGACTGCCAACATTATTGTTCTATTAAATATTTTTATCTTATACAAATTTTATCATATAATATGGTGCAAAAATTGTATATTAAGTAGTTAAATTTTATATATTTTATATTAAGTAATTTTATATTAAATTAAATTTATAGTTTCTAAAATTTTTATGACAATTTTATATTAAATAATTTTATGTTAAATTCTTATATTAAATCATTTTAATGTATTTAAATGTTGGGTTTTATGTTTAATATTACATAATATGTAATATAAGGTATTCATAAATTATTATAGACTATAATAATATAATCACCTAATAATATGTTGCTAATTATAGCTACACTATGTAATTATAGTTATATATTATATTATATAGTATTAAATAATTATATGTGTAATTATATAATAATTATATAATTATAATTGTGACTGTATTATGTAATAATTGAAATAATTATTAAGCATCAATAATATATAATTATAGTTCTGTTATACAGTATTAAACAATATATAATTGTTGATTGATATAACTGATATAATTATTAATTCCAATATATAACAATATAATAAACTATGAAGTATTTTAAAATTATAGTTAATATTTGTTATGTTTAATATAATTATAATTCATATTGCATTACATGTATTATATTCAAATAAATTATTTTAAAATTGTTTCCTGAGGACCTACTGTGTGCTGATCAATACTGCCGCCTGTTTTTGTTTTATTTGCTTTGTTTTTGCCTTTTTGGTTTGTGTTGCTGTTTTGCTAAGAAGCTTTCTACATGTGTAAATGGTGAGGGAAAAACAGAAAGCACACTTTGTGACTTGTGAAAAAGACATGAAACTCAAATTTCAGCATCCAGAAATGAAATTCCATTGTGCACAGCCATGCCTGTTTGTTTCCATGTAGCTTTCTTGCTACAGCAGCAGAGCTGAGTCACTGGGACAGAGACCGGGTTTAAAACATTTACTATCTGGCCTTTTAGGAAAAGCTGGCCTCCAAAGGGAACTCAGGAATCATTTAATGAGTAAATAATTCTACCTAGGATGCCTTCCCAGTTTTGATCTAGCAGTTAAACTACTATTCATCCTTCAAAACCTTAGTTCCAGTGGTTTAACACAGGGCAGGGCTCATCCTGGGTGATCCAAGAGAGTGGAGGCTGGAGGGTGGGAAGAGGAGGAGGCTGGGCAGCAGGTACATGGTGTGGGCCTGCAGGAATCTGCCGAGGCTCAGGGTCCTCACAAGGCGCCAAGGCATGCACCCCAACTGGGGAAAGGCTGTACTCTCTGCCTGGAATACTACCCCCACCCCCGTACCAGATCTCCACGTGGTTCACCCCCTCACTTCCTCCATGTCTTTGCTCAAATGTCACCTTCACCAAGTGTTCCCTGACCAGGATCTGCCTCAGTCTCCTCCTCCCCACCCTCCAGCTTCCACTCTCTTGGATCACCCAGGATAAGCCATACCCTGCACTAAATCGTTGAGCTGGGGCTTTAAAGGATGAATAGGAGTTTAACTGCTGGCCAAAAAATGGGGAAGACATCCTGGGTTGAATCACTGAATCATTAAATGTTTCCTACTACTCAGCCATAAAAAAGAATAAAATAATGCCATTTGCAGCAACGTGGATGGATCTGGAGATCGTCATACTAAGTGAAATAAGCCAGAAACAGAAAGAAAAATACCATATAATATCACTTATGTGTGAAATCTAAAAAAAATGACATAGGGGAGAGGATATAGCTCAAGTGGTAGAGCGCATGCTTAGCATGCATGAGGTCCTGTGTTCAATCCCCAGTACCTCCTCCAAAAATAAATAAATAAACCTAATTACCTCCCCCTCAAAAAAACAAAGAACTAAAAGACTAAAAAAATGACACAAAGGAACTTATTTACAAAACAGACACAGCCTCACAGACACAAAAAACAACTTATGGTTAGTGGGAAGGGATAAATCGGGAGTTCGAGATTTGCAGATACTAACTACTATGTATAAAATAGATAAACAACAAGTTTATATGGTATAGCACAGGGAGCTATTTTCAATATCTTGTAGTAACCTATAATGAAAAAGAATTTGAAAAGGAATATATGTATGTACATGTACGACTGAAACATTATGCTGTCCACCAGAAATTGACACAACACTGTAAACTGACACTATAATAAAAAAAATTTTTTTTAATGTTTCCTGAGTCCCCTTTGGTGGCAAACATTTCCCTAAAGGGCCGTAGAGTAAACATTTTTAAGTTATTTTTTATGAGTGGAGGTAATTAGGTTTATTTATTTCTTAATGGAGGTGCTGGGGATTGAACCCAGGACACTGTGCATGCTAAGCAGGTGCTCTCCTGCTGAGCTGTCCACTCCCCATGTAGTAAGCATTTTAAACATGGTCTCCGCCCCAACGACTCAGCTTGGCTGTTAGAGCCTGAAATCCACAGAGAAGAAAATGGGCGTGGCTGTGGACCAACAGGACTTCATCTTCGGATGAGGAAATTTGAGTTTCATGTCATTTTCACATATCACAAAGAAATGATGTTCTTTCTATTTTTTGCCCAGAATTTACACATGTAAACACATTCTCAGCCAAACAAAGCAAAAACCAACTTTGCACTTTACCGATCCCACAGGTTGAGTTTTTGTTTTAGCCCTTATCACTTTCTAATGTCTACCATTTCACTTATTTATATATTGTGTTTACTTTCTGTCTTCCCCACTGCCTAAGAGCTCCAGGAAGTCAAGCATTTTTGTCAGTTTTGAGCCATGCGGTGTCCTTAGTACCTAGACCAGAGCCGGCAACACAGTGCTCACTCAATAAATGTTTGCGGAGGCAACAAATGAATAAATGAGTTCATTTCATCCCCACAGTCCCTCTGAGAGGCAGGCAACTTTTTAATCATCCCCATCATCGGAGGAGATTGAGGCTGGAGGAGGGAAGCCCATAGCCACAGTCACAGGGCAAGTCCTTGTAAGACATGGGCTGGAAACAATGTGTCTCACTCCAGATCCCAGATTGTCCTGATCCAATCAGAAATGGAAAAATAACCACTCCAAGCAGTCAGTTACATTCATCAGTAGGACTTCAGAAAGCTTCCTTGACTCAGGGGAAATCTGTGCAGGGCTGGGGTGGGGTCCAGCCCAGAGCAAGGCACAAAGGAGACTCAGGAAATGTTTGATGATTTAGTGATCCTGCCTTGGAAGCCCTCCCTCTTTTTGTCTAGCAGGTAAACTCCTCTTCATCCTTCACAACCTCAGCTCCAATGCCCCTCTTCTGGAAAGCCTTCCCTGATACCCCAGGAAGAGCCCTGGAGCCCCTCCCTGGGCATCCCAGTCCCAGGACACTGCCTCCGCCCCAGCTCTGCCCCCATTGTGGGGTTTTCTGTGTTTCATTTGTGAGCTCCTCAAAGAAGGCCCCTTGAACACTGGGGGTGTGCCCACACTTTTTCAGGCCGACAAGAACCTGAGGCACCCCAGACCCGTGACTCACCAGCAGTGGCATCCAGCAGATGCTGGCCACCACCATGATGCCGGTGAGCTGAGCCATCATCTCCACCTCGCAGTCCCGGGGGCGCTGCTGGGCGGCCTCCTGCCCGTGGTAGACGTGGCACAGGGTGGCCACACTGATGGTGTTGAGCAGGAAGGACAGCCCCACTGAGAGACTGCCGAGGAGTGCGAAGAGCAGGCCGAAGGCCACATCCCCTGGCTCGGCGCCGAGCGTGAGGAAGCACCAGGAGCCCGGGTACTGCACGGTGTAGCGGCCCAGTCCCAGCAGGGGCAGCAGGCCCAGCGCCAGTGCGGCAGCCCACACCAGCCCCACTGTGGTCCAGGCCCGGCGCTGCGAGGCGGTCGTGGGCCGTGAGAAGGGCCGGGTGATGCCCAGGTAGCGCTCCGAGGCCATGGCGGTCCCCAGCAGCAGTGGACACAGGCCGAAAAAGACCATGATGACGCCCATGAAGTGGCAGAGGTGGCAGCCAGGGTCCACAGCCTGCCAGTCAAAGAGGGCGACATGCTGGGACACCACGATGGCACCGGTGACCAGTAGCCCCATGAAGTCGGTGAGGACCAGGCCACAGAGGAAGGTCAGGAATGAGGACCGCGTGTGGGAGCTGCCCTGCCGCGCGCCCATCAGCACGCTCAGCGCCAGCAGGTTGGAGGCCAGGCCCACCAGGCAGAAGACAGCCGGGAACCAGGGGGAGGCGATCAGGCGCCGCTCCTCCAGGGTGATGTTTGTTGGCCGGAAACAGGGCCCCAGAGAGCTGCCATTGGGCCACATGGCACCAGGGTGGAGCGGGGAGGGTCACCACCCCATCCGGCCAAGGCTGCAGGTGGGACGGCTGGCACTCGCTCAGCACACCTGGGGGCAGGGCGGGCAGAGAAGATTTGCTGGTGATTCATTCTGCATTTTAGTCTGAGAAGCCCTGGTGAACTCCTACACAGCCTTCAGTGCCCCAGGTCAAAATCTCTTTGAGGAAGCCTTTCCTGACTTACCTCACTCCCTGCGCAGTGAGTATTTCTATTACCACTACTACTAGTACTGCTATCGCTATTACTACTGCTGCTGCCTCCAGCTCTGTCCAGGCTCAGTGATCATCAAGGGTGAGGACCAATTCTGTCTGTTCTGGGACCCCTGGAAGACACCAGTAATTATTTGCCAGGCTGCAGAGAAGGGCTGAGAAGTCTGGGGCTTGAACGCCAGCCCTGGCACTCATCGTGTGACTGCAGGCAATTATTTCTTCTCTCTAAACTTCCGTTTCCCTACTGGTCATCCATCTGAGCCCCTGGTGAACTGCATAATCCAGGGCAGATCTCAGCTGCTGTAAAACAGGACACGTCCAGTGTGGGGAGGGGGGTTGGCTGTCGGCCAGAGGTCGCTGGCTCTCGCGTCTGCTCCAAGGTCAGCCTCGTGGGTCACAGCTTCTCATGAAGGCATGTAGGGGAGACCTGGTCCCACTGGTGTTTGAGGAGCTCTTTTCTCACGTTTTGGAATCATCTGCATTATTTTCGCCCCCATTTTCGTTTAGTGCGAAATAAACCCAGAAATCTAGTTCCATTCTGGGAATGAAAAACAGCTCATCGGAGCAACAGGTTCCCCAGGGATGGACTACAAAAACAGCAGCAGGCAGGGCCCGGGACCCAGTGTGGGGCTGGGGGGAAACCAGAGACACGTGAGCCTGACCGCACAGGGTCTGGATGCACTGGTCAGATGTGGGGAAGGCGAGCAGAAATGAGACCGTTCTAAAACTAGCTCCCAACTCCCAAAGAAGACACCGCAGGGAGGGCATAAGGCTGCCCAGGGGGCTGGGGCCAGCACCTGGGGCCCCAGCCTCCTGCCCTGGGCACACATCAGTGAGGGAACACCGGGTGGCTGGATCAGAGTGGGCAAAGGCAGGGAGGCAGGACCACGGTTGGGTACAGAGGTTCCAGGCAGTTAAGGCTCATAAAAGTCCTATTATGATCCCCATTTTGCAGAGGGGTGAACCTGAGGCACAGAGAGGTTAAATATCTAATCCAGGGTCACACAGCCCAGCTGGAGTTGATCTGAAATCGGAGATTTCTATGAACTCAGACCTCATTACATAGAAATGTACGTAAGTGATTCAAAAGTCAGCCAGTCAGGTGGCGGCTCACAATAATTGGAATTTTCCTTCAGAAGGAACAGAAGTTTCTACAAAGTTGGTCAGACCAGATTTGAACCCTGACTTTGCCAGGAACCTTCTTACTCACCTTGGGCGAGTCATGTCCCGCTGAGCCTCAGTTTCCCTTCGCTACAAAATGGGGCTAATGACAGGAAGGATTTCACTGTGTCTGAGGCTGAGCACCTGGCAGTGCTCAGTCTGTGACACAGTGAAGTAGTGAGCATGCTGATGGGTGCCGCCCCCTCACTCTCCATCTCATTAATTCTGCTCAGCAGCTCCTCACCGAGCTTCATCAATTATCCAGAGCCTGACTGCCTGCGCACTGAGCTTCCCTCCCGGGCTTAGAGCCAAAGTCACAGCCACTTCAGTGGGGGCGGGGCCTCGAGCAGGGAAACAGGTCCTGAGAGGTGGGGGGTGGGGTCCGTGCCATGCCATCCGAGCCCTCTGCTCCCAGGCCGGGGTGTGCTTTTGCTGGCTTACATTCGGCCTGCACTTGGATTCCTCCTGGGGCTGGGTGCTCACTCCCTGCCTCCCTCCCTCTGGAGCTGGTATGCGCTGTTTCTGAACATTCCTGGGGACTTGGGCTGTGCCTGCGGCCACTGCCCCAACCTCAGCCTAGAGAGACCGCCAGCCCTTCCTGGGTCTCATGGTTCCTTGGTCCCTCACCCTTGTGCAGGAGTTCATGCACCCAGGGACACAGACCCTGAGGCTGCCTTGTCTAGGAACATCCCTGTGACCCAGGGCTCTTGGCCTAGGGGAGGCTGGAAACTGGCACTACTCCCTCTGGCCCCAGCCTGCGGTTTCCAGTCCACCCTCTGCCCTGGGGTTCAGGTGAGAGCAGCTTCTCAAGTTCCCCAGGCAAGCAGCCCAGGAGGGGCCTGACAAAGCCTTCTTTCCCCTCCCACAACGGCTGGGAGGGATGGCAGAGCACCCACCCTGCAGAGGACCATCGTCCTCCCAGTCTGAGGTCCAGAAGCTCCCCTGTGTGTCCCTTGGGGGAACTGCTCCCCCTCTCTGTGCCTCATGGGAAGCATGGACCCCAGATGTGCTGGACGAACCCAGGATCCCGTGGCCTGAGAGTGTAGGGGTTTGGACTTTGAAGGTCCAGGGTTCTAGAATTGTAATGAGCTCCAGGTCTGGAAGCTGAAGCCCCTAAGAGCCTAGAATTTCAAGGGGCTGATGTTCCGGAACTTTGACAGGAATTTGGCTGGGTGCTGGGTTCCAGAAATCTCCGTCTTGGGTTCTGGTTCCTCGCTGGAGGATTCCATCCACCACTGTCCCAGAGGCCCTGGCACTGGGCTCCCCCCTCACTGGCCCCAGTGCACTGTAACGTTTGGTTACCAGGGCCGGGCCCCTCCTCTGCCTATTGTCACCTCCTGCCCTGTTCTCCTCCCCCCGCCGCCCGAGAGCCATCCGTCTTTCATCAAGTCCCTCTCCCACTTGAACCCCACCTCTCCCCTGCCTGGCCTGCCTGTCCGTCCCCACACCCTGGGCCCACCCAACCTCCCTCAAGGGTGATGGTGACCTCAGACAAGCTCGGACTGGAGTCCCCCATCCTCCATGGCCAAGCTGGGGGCTCAACCTTGCTGAATCTCAGCACCTCAGTTCCCTTTCTGTGAAGCGGGGGTACGTAACTAGGACATTGACTCGCTACAGGGCCTTCTGGTCTCCCTGGCCTGACCTGCTCCTGCCCCGGGGCCTCTGCTTGCCCTGATCTGGTGCGCCCTTGCGGCTCCTGACCCTGCTCTCAGCTCATCCCCCAGCTGGGTGCATGGGGCAGCCAGGCAAGAGCCCTGACGCTCTGTGTGATCTCTGCCTGTTTCGCTGTTTCTTCAGTTCTCTAATGCTGTGGGCAACCGAAGACGATGCCCTTTGTCATGAGACTGCAGGGACCAGGCCTATGCCTGATGCAGACCTGAACGCCCACAGGTGTGGAACCCCTCCACGCCCTTGTGCAGCTGCAGATGACCACACAGACACACACACATACACGCGGGGCCCAGGCCCACCCCTGCCTCCCCTCACCACAAGGCTCAGTTTCCTGGAACTTTTCCTGTGTATGACACCAACCAGGTCCCCACCCCAGAGGGTGTAGAAGGGGACTCCACAGTCAGCCTGACTCACATGACCCTCTGAGCCTCAGTTTCCTTTTCTATCCAATGGGCATCCTCTCGGTGCTCACCACTCAGGCTTTCCCGAGGCCACACGAGGGGGCTGGATGTGAAATGATGGGACAGGACCCAGGCCAGGTGGCCAGTGGTTAATGATGGACACAGTCATAGTGATCACAGGGACATGGGCCAAGGCTCAGCTCCTTGAGTGCACACAGACACACAGCCAACCGGATGTGGACTTGAACTCACAGCCACACCCAGCATCCTGGAACCCTCCCCTGCTGTGGCCTCAATCCAGGGAAATACGCACACAAGCACATCCTCGCCACCTAGCCACAGTGGCACATGCAGGTGCCCAGGCCAGGTGGCCCTGCAGGCATAGACCCAGGCTCACCAGTGCCCCAGGACACCCAGCACCTGGCAGCTGTCACCACTCAGGGTGACACACCCACCGCAGGGTGGATCACCACAGAATACACTCAAGCCTCACCTATCCACGCTTATGCCCGGCCCCTAACCTAACCAGCCAATCATCCTCACCTGGCGATGGTCGCTGGGACCTGCAGAAGTAGCCGCGCCCTCGTGGACCGGGCGAACGTGCGGGTGCCTGGCGGGATTGCGGCTTGCAGAGGCGGAAGCAGAGCGGCCGGCCTCGATGCCCCTGGGGAAACCGAGTCACTGAGGGCGGTGGGACAGAGGACCCCAGCGCTTCCGGTCGCGGCGGGGTCACAGATGGGGGGCGAGGCCGCACAGGACGCAGCAGCTGCGCAGGGTCCCAGCCGAAGGAGGGGCGAGGGCCCCTCGGGGGCTGGAGGGGGTCCGCGGGAGCTAAAAATAGCCCGAGGTGGGGTGCTCTGCTGTGCAGCTCGCGCGTGTCTCCGCACTGGTCTCTCTGGGTCTCTGTCTTTCCGTCGGTCTCTCATCAGCCCCTCCCCACACCCGCGCTGGCCACGCCCCTCACGCCTGGGCCTGGCTGCTGGGGGTC